CCAAGAGAGCAGTTGGGCACCCCGGATCAGGGCGCGACTCAAGGGCCCAATTGGTCGTTGGGTCAAATTGGTGGAGATCAACCTAACAAAAAAACTACTTCTCCGACGCGTCTGCCGCATCGGCATCGGCATCGCGCTCGCGCCGCAACCTTGAAGAAGGCACGGGTGGGCTGAGCCTGGGCAAGGGGCAACACGCAGAGGAAGGCCGGGCGGTTTGCTCTGGCACAGCGTGTAGTGGCGCATGGCGGCACAGCCCATGCCAGCGCGTTGTGTGCGATGGTGACTGCGATCCGTGGTCATGGCATAGCATGTCGCCGTTACGGCCTCTGATCTAATTCTCCGCTATAATGAGGCCAATCGAGGTCGTGCCATGCGATCGGCTACATTTTGTTGGCATCATTGCAGCCGCTCTGAATAGTAGCTTCCAAGACACATTAGATTTGCGCGTTTTCTTTCCCTGTTCCGTTGGAGTGTGTTTCTCAAATTGGTCGACGGCGTGCAGTTATGGGATCAACCTCCAAAGTCCAGTCCTTTTTTTTACCTCCAAAAATGATATACTCCAATCCTCTAAAATGAGCATGGACGACAAATTCAGCATGGTTTTTCAAAACTCTGCGGTCCTTGGTTGTACACGCTCGACGTTGATCTAAACTTTGCGCAACAACTCCACGCTGGCACATGAATTTTCGTGCAATGCATGGATTTATTTTGGAGGAAAAAAATCAAATAGTTTGACCATGTCGATGCAGAATTTGTTTTACATCGCTTTGATCTTGAAGTCATGAGCAGCTCCAATAGCTTGGCTAAAATTAGTATCTAAATTTTATTGTTTAGCCATTTTATAAAATAGAAAACTTATAAAAAACAAGAGATTCACAACAACCTTTCTAATTTACAAAGCCACATAACGAGAGCTCATGGTAGGCTATAAGTGGTCACCGAAAATCAAGGGATAGCTAGCTTCCTATTTTACAAAGTCCGATAACACATATGTTGAAGCCCACTTTTTGCTATACAAATTCAAGAATAGTCAAGTTGGAGTCGCTCTAAGTCCATGAAAGTCCGGAACTCCATCTTTGAAGTTTTCTTCGACGTTATAGCAAAAATGTTTTTAGTTATATAAATGGTACAAAGGTTTTTAAAAAATATCAGTCACTCTATGCCAAAATATAAACAATATGATACGAGACATCTCAAAGACACAATAACATTCCTACCAAAACCGTGCTCGTAAAAGGGCAAAATAAATGAACCCTTAGAATTTTGGGTTGTTAAAGCCCATTTCGATAGACCGCGAACACACGGCCTAACTTATACAACAACAAAGCGTCCATTCTCGTTTCGGCCGCAAACGGGTAAAAACCCACGGAAAACGGGACAAGTTTGCAAAACCCCCTCTTTGTTCTGTTTCCCTCGCCGCCGCCGCCGCCGTCGTTGCCGCTAGCCGGCGTAGCTGATAGGAAACCTGACCACCTGAGCCTTCTATAGACCAGCCTCAGAGGAACCCCCAACCCCTGCCCTTATGGCCCTCCTCCTTCGCCGAGGCGCGGCCCTCGCTGCCCGCACCTTCAGCGCCGCGGCTGCCTCCTCCGCTTCCACCACCGTGCACCGCCTCCCAGCCGGGGGATCCCTTGCGGGCGCCGGGGAATTCGCTCCAGCGCGGCTCTTCGTCTTCGAGAACCGAAGAGGCTTCGCGAAGGGGAAGAAATCGAGTAAGTTGCGCACCCGCCCCTCCTTGGATGGTTAGATAATGTGAAATACTGAAATGGCAGCTCAGTTCCTGTTGTGTGCTACTAGTACTTATTAGGTCCCTGATTTGATACAAGTAAATGGATACATCAGGGTCTTACGACTGTCGATGTGAAAAGAAGGATGGTTATGGAAGCATTGCCTTTGATGGACCAATCACATTTTCTTTGTTTGTGGCTGTGTAGAGGATGATCGAGGTGACACTGTTCAAGCTGTTCCTGACATTGGGCCAACTGTCAAATCAGCTGCCACTGCACAAATGGATGCTGCAGTGATCGCGCTGTCACGAGAGCTGAGCAAACTACGGACTGGAAGAGCTACTCCTGGTAACCTTATATCGCTGCCTTTGCCTTTGCCATAATATTCTTATTTTCCTTTTGTTGATCAGTGCAGTTTCTTCGGCTAAGGATAAAAATACATCTGTTTCTGCAGGCATGCTTGACCATATCATGGTGGAGAATGCAGGTGTTAAAGTTGCATTGAATCGCATTGCCGTTGTTTCTGTCCTGGATGCACATACCCTATCAGTGACGCCTTATGATCCTACTGTAAGAAGCGTCTCTTTCCTTAAATTTTACTAGCTGAAGCTGGTAGATTTTGTTGTCAAGTAGATGCAGTTTTTGTATCAATAATTTGTTTGCCGGAGGATCAAGTCAAATTTCGTGAAAATCTAATACATGATACACAGAAGATATGTTTGGTGTTGTTTTTATCACAAGTTTCTGTTATAGGCCTAAACAACAAATTTCATGTTAATGTGTTTGTTACCTGTTGCCTTGGACTTAAATAGCATAGCAGTATGAGGTGTAATTGGGCTTCTGCTTTTAGTCTCCCTTTGACTCATTTCTAATATGTTGCTCTACAGTCCATGAAGTCTATTGAGCATGCTATTGTCTCATCACCATTGGGCATTAATCCAACACCTGATGGGAATAGGACTATTGCAGCTATCCCTCCGTAAGTGTTTCCTTTAATGTTGATGGTTATAATTTACGGAGTATCTGGTATTTCAATAGTTGGTATGTATGTATTGTCATGTTTTACATTTACCAGTGGTTTCTACTTTCTAGACAATAAATTTTCAGGCACCTGCTTGCGAGGGTGAAATAATTTTTTACTCAACGGCTTTTATAATATAATATTATTGCTGATTCAATGAGTTAATTGCATTGTCTACAAACTTGAGGTTCATTCCATTTAATATTTATGGAGAGGCAGCTGCAATAACTTAGTTTACATAAGTCAGTAACTACACTCTTAAATTTGCTTCCTTCTGCTAATTTTGTTTTATTATGCATGCCTAGGTTGACGAAGGAGAATATACAGGTAAGATTTGCCGACTTAATACTAATTCATCTGTATGGAAACAGCTAACATATTTTTTCGGTGCCTGAGTATAGGCACTGTGCAAGGTTGTTACTAAATCAGCAGAGGATTTTAAACAAAGTATTAGAAGAGCACGCCAAAAGGTAACACAGGCTTGCTCTTTTTCTTCTTTTAATTAATCTATTCTGGTGATGGCAGTGGCTATGTGGACAATCATATGCCTTATTCCTCAGTTTAAGTTGATTCAAGTTTTAAACTAAACATTAGTTTGACACTTGGAATTTAGGAGAAATATTTTTGGTGACTATGTGATACTTGAGTATGTCTATTTTTCTAGAGTTTATTATGCATTGGGGGCAGGGTTCACTTGCAGCAAGTTTGACAAGTTGTTATCTGGTCACTTAGTAACATTATGAGTAAGAAAACTAATTTGTGGTTGAGCTCATTCAATCTTCGCTGAAAAGTACTGTTCGCTGATTTTTTTGTGAGAGAAAAACACTGTACCATGGCTGATAAGCCAGGCTGATAAGTTCAAGTGAACAGGGCCTTATCAGAGGTGAAGATTAATAAATTGGTCTATGTAGAAGCATTGTTGATATGTGTAGTGACGAGCCTTCCTATTGTGGGTAATGTTCACTGGTGTGCTTAAGTACTTTTGCCATCTCACTTGGCCTAGTACCTGGCTCTCAAAGCTAAATTTATTATGTTCAAAATCTTCCACTAAACTAGAGTTGCTTGGAGCCTAGGACTTTTGAGTACTACTGGATTTCAGTTCCATCAACTCCAATGCTCTAGGCTGTTATTGGCATTATGTATTTATGTAGCATAGTAAACTTTGCCATGTTTGTCCAGGCACTTGATACAATAAAGAAATCTGCATCTAGTATGCCCAAGGATGATGTAAAGAGGATTGATAAGGAGGTGAGTATCTGAAACAGTGCTAAAAATAAGTATGTTGCCTGCCAATGAATACTTATCCTGTTAAGTTTCCGCCAGATTGAAGAATTGACAAAGAAGTTCGTAAAGTCAGCAGATGATATGTGCAAGGCTAAGGAAAAGGAGATCAGCGGAAGCTGAAGTGTTCTGGTCGATGAGTTATGTTTCATTTACTAGTTGCGTTTTGTTTACATTCCAACAATGTTGAGCAGCTGCGATTTGGCAGCTGAGTGGAGGATATAAATTTTACTAGTTCGCGTGCCCTTAAATCCGGCTTGATCCGCTTTTTTTTTTTTCTTCATCCGGAACAATGTTTTCCTCTCACAAATTCCTTCATATTTCTCTAGATAACTCCAAATTTCTCCGAGCGAACGGGGCCTATACTGGTAGCAGTTCAGAACAGTGAGATGACCGGGACAGGTTAGCTGGTGGTGACGTAATTTCCAGTCGCGCGGTCTTTGATTAAAACTTGCAGAACGAAGAAACTAAGTTCAGTTTGATATACGTGGTTGGCACTAATTATTCTCAGCTTCTACTTAAACAAAAATTGTTTCTCATTTCCTGTTTCTATTTAACACAATAAGTTGCAAGTGGTGCCAAAGGCATAGCTGTTTTTGAGCTTCCCCAGGGAGTGTTTACTTTTGCTTCGTGTCAGAATCCAGAACTCATAATAAACTCAAATGGCGAAGTTTCTCAAAGGAGAATTATGATTCAGATAGAAACGCACTACAAGCCAGTTAGCTAAAGCAACTTAGTCGAGACAACACCCAGGCTATATACACACAACACAACCCCATGCCCCTGAACCAAAATCCATCATGGCAAGCCAAACCCAGCAGCCAAAGCCTCCGAGCTGAAGACCAGCGCAGCTGCACACCACACCAAACCACACAGCCCCTCTACGGCTCTACGCCCGCTTCAACTCTTTACAAACACGCCCTCGCTGCAAACCTACAGAGCCTAACGGAGAGAAAGCAGCCACGAGTCACTCACTCCTGGCCTCTCTTGCCAAATGCCGCCCTGGTCACGGCCCTGATGCCCCTCACCCACAGCTCCGCGGTCTCCTCGCCGCCCTGGCACACGAAGTGCACCTCCCTCCCTGTCGTAGTCACCACGTGGAACAGCCCCGGCTCATACGCGTCTCCCTTCCTCTGCCTGTGCCGCTGGAACGCCGAGCTGCCACCGACCTCGGCCTCCCGGCAGATCACGTTGCGCCGGCTCGACCCGCCCCACCGGAGCACGCCCGCCGCAGCGACCATGCGCAGCGACTTGTCATGAGGCCTCCCGCGCCCGCCCTTGGTGTGCTTCCTGACGTGCGCGCACTGGAGGACCGCCTGCCGGCCCAGCTCGTCCATGATCACGTCCTCGGCCTTGTTGAAGCCCGCCGTGGCCAGCGCTGCTCGCGCCAGGGAGAGCGCCGTCTCGCCGCGCGGCGTCCGGAGGTCACAGCGAGCGTCGTAGGAGATGAGAAGCTTGGCCTTCCCTTGCCGCGAGCATCAGCGGGGTGTAGCCGTCGCCGTCGGGGATATTGACGTCGCAGCCCGTGCTTGCGAGGTGCCGCGACGCCGCGGTGTCCCCGCGCCGGGAGGCACAGTGAAGCGCGTAGAAGCCTCCAGGCATGCCCTTCTCCAGTGCAAACTCGAGCATGACCTGCTCGAAGAGGTCCCTCTACTTGCTCTGCTGCGCCAGTCCAATGGCCGTCTCGCCGCGCTTGTTGCTCAGCTTCACGTTGGCGCCGGCGAATACGAGGGCACGGAAGGCCTCGACGTTGCCCAATAAAATTATATTTTCCATTTTATGATTTTTCAAAGAATTAGCGGAAATAAATAAAAAAGAAAAAGATAAACCCATCTTCAAAACTGCTTATAATAGGGTCAGAGATGTAAGATGAACGGTTTTAAAAGTTAAGGGAGTTGTTTTGCCCGGTTTTAGAGTTCAGGGAGAAAAAACAAACTTTCGCGAAAGTTGAGGGAGATAATACAGACTTTTCCCCCAAAGGATACCCATCGAGCGGCCCGCAACCACGGAGTCTGGAGTCCGGGGGATATTTAACTTTTTACCATTATAACGGATGACAACTCCTCAGATAGCATTCTAAGGATTTGACGATACTGTTTTAGCAGTAGAGAGAGAAAATCGATACACATTTGCTATTTTTGCTTATGTGGCACATCAGCGCCACAAATCCAACTTAAATCCGAGTCAGCAGCCTCAGGTAAAATGACCACTCCTGCCCCTGGTTTCTCTATTCTCCCCTCTCTCCCTCTCCATCACTGACACACGGGCCCCACAAGTCAGATTCTCTTTCAACCTTCAACCATCATCATGCAGCCAGGGAAGGGGATGAGCTCGACCACGCCGCGGTGCGCCATGCTGCCGTCCACGGCGACACGTAGTGCTCGCCGCGTGCTTGTCGTCTTTGCCGCGGCCGTAGACACGGAGAGCCCCGCGCCCTCGACGGCGTGGTGCGCCTCGAAGTCAAGCCTCGTCGGCGTCGTCCCCGCAGTACGTGGTTGAAAGGACCTAAGATGCCGCCTAGAGGGGGGTGAATAGGCGTTTCTGAAAATTAACACCTTTAAATACGAAAACGATTAGTAAAGAGAGTTTCCAAAATAGAAACTCCAAATAAGAGTAATACCACCTCTCACAAGTTAGCCACAGAGTATGTAAAAGATACTAAATAAATCTAAAAGCCACAACCCTACAGCACAACGATTAGTGTAGTGAATAGATAAAAACAGAGCAGTGACCAATACCGGACACGTCCAGTTCGATCGAACACTTCAGGCAATATCGGACACGTCCGGTAGTTATACTGGACACGTCTGGTATACACAAGTTCTGCAGTGTGACCCCTAACTTGCTCCTTTTGATTCCAAACTTCAATCCAACTTGTAGGCACCCACTAAAGATAGTGCCACACACAGGTAACATGCACAAGAGCTAGAGCAACACAAATATCAAATAAAATATGAATTGAGACACGATATTTGTTTTACCGAAGTTTGGACTTGTTCGAGTCCTACTCTCCGTTGAGGGGGCTGCGGGCGATGCAGCGAAGGTCAGCCCTAGAGGGTACCACGAATGTCACTCTAGCCGGAGTCTTTTCCAACTCATTTTCCTCCTTCCACTAGTTGATTCTGAGGCGGCGGAATTGACCGTTACAAACTTTTCGAGGCACACCACAATCTCTCGGGTGTTCTCCGGCGACGCCTAGCCGTCTAGGACCGAAGAGTCAAAGAGTAACAAATACGAATCACGAAATTGACAATATGCACAAGTGCTCAAGTGGTTGGATTGCTCTCTTTTTGAAATTCTCTCGACCCACTAATGGATTTGGCAATTTGGATCACACACTCACTAAGAGAGGGTTTAGGAGAGTTGGCAAAGCTCAAAAACGTGCTAGAGGATCAGCAAAATTAGCAGCCTCCAAAGGTGGAGGCTTGGGGTTATTTATAGCCCCTTTGAAAAACTAGCCGTTGGAATACCGGACACGTCCGGTATACATACCAGACACGTGACTTGCACTACGCCAACGGTAACTGAGTAAAGTATCGTTGTGAGGCATCGAAACTCCCGACGAATGTCGGAACTCCCGACTGTCGGAATTCCCGACTCACGTCGGAACTCCCGACCCTCAGCTCATTTTGAAAACTAGCCGTTGGGCTCTCACTGAGTTAAAGTATGCGAGGTGTCGAAACTTCCGACGCTTGCTGGGACTCCCGACCCTCAGCTCATTTGTCTCTCAAACACTCAAAACTCATATGGGTTAGCATGAGCACTTATGAATGATTATCTATCAACATGATGCAGCCCTCTTAATAGTATGTCATACCTATTAAACTCAAGATAAAAGGAAAAATGAATTTATACCGCTTGAGTTGATCTCTTTTGAATTGATGCCATCTCTTTCAATCTTCATCAAGTAAGGGTGCCAACATGTCGATATTAATCTTTTTCACTTGAGCATAGCCATCTTGAGCACGTGACTTGATTCCATTCATCAAATATGAATAATCCCAAATGTATCAAGTCACTTCCATCAAACACTCTAATAGTGATTTGATCCTCCACATCAACATGACCATCATAACTTGATTAGTACCTCAACTAAATGCAAGTACTTCCTTCTTCACCCTAGCTAGGTTCTTCGGCCACCAAACCGTCACTTGCCCTTCACCCTTGCTTAGTACCTCGAAGCCTTTCCTTGCTATCTTCACCATCTCAAGCCATCAAATCATACCTTGTGTTGAATCATACAATGAATTCCATACAACATCATTAACCATTTGTCGGTGTTTTGGACCGGCGGATCCTCAACCAACTAGTGAAAGTGTACTGCGTGTCCCTAATCCAGAATGGTGATGCAAAGAGACACAAGGTTTATACTGGTTCAGGCAATAGGTGCCATACGTCCAGTCTGAGAGAGCGATCTTGTATTCCTTGCACCGAGGTGCTTGTAGTAGGGGTTTACAAGCAAGGCGAGAGAGGGAGTTAGTCCTAGGTCTCTGCGTAGAGCGGCATGGGTTGCTTGAGATGTTGATCTCTCGTAGTGAGGGAGCGTGCGTATTATAGAGTGTTGCTCGTTGCTTGCGCGTGTGTGTCTATCTGAGCGACGTCTCCGTGAGTGCCTGCCTAGAAACGGCCCCGATCACTCCCTTTTATAATTGAAGGGGGGGACAGGGGCGATACATGTGTTCGCTATGTGGCGTTTTGTGAGCGGAGGCGGTATGTCCGAGCCCTGCAGCTCGTTACTGTGGCGGTATGGTCGATGGAGTGGTCCTGTCCTTGGTACTCTAGAGCGACGCGCCGGTCATGCCTGGTCCTGTGCGACGTGGGAGCTCCTGTGGTGGCAGGCGCGCCTTCTTCTGTTGGAGGCGTGCTGGTTGTTGTATGTTTGACCGGCGTGGAGTGCCGAGGCCGGGTTGATGCGATGACGTGGGTGTGCTGACTCCGAGGATACAGGAGCTTGGCCATGTGCATGACGTGGGAGCTCCTGCAGCCTGACGCAGGGTATGGCGCGTTCTGCGGGCGACGTGCAAGCATGGGGGGCCATCATGGGGGGCTCGACGGGCGCGAGTCCCGAGGCTACAAGAGCCCGGAAGCAGATAGCCGAGGCTCGAAGGGAGCAGTTGGTCTTGTTCGTTGATTCCGAGGCTACAGGGACCTGGACTTGACTCTCCACGCCGCGCTGTCCTTGGAGCAGGCGGGGTTAGGCAGCACAGTGCCGCATGGGTGTCAGTCGTGGGCATAGTGCTGAGCACAGCGGCCGGTAACCCCTGCCCTGTCCTATCCCAGACTGCATGGCACCGATGTGACTCTCGTCCCGTCGGCCACTCCACTGCACTGCGCCGACGTGCGGCTGACGTCGCGGGAGTGGTTGGACGCGTTGGTTGGATGTGACATCCTATCAGGGAAATTGGTCAAGGCGGCGGTGATGGGGTCGATGCCGAGCCGGCCTCGAGTGAGTCGGTAATTGAGAGTTCGTCCGAGGCCTCGTGGCGCGGGGCCTCGAGCGAATCGGAGAATTGGTACCTCGTCCGAGGCCTTTCGGGCGGGGCCTCGGGCGAGGCAGAGAATCGGTACCTCGTTCGAGGCCTTGCGGGGCGGGGCCTGGGGCGAGCCGGAGAGTTGGTACCTCGTCCGAGGCCTTGCGGCGTGGGCCTCGGGCGAATCGGAGAATCGGCCAAGGCCTCGTGGTTGTCTCTTGGCTTCGACATTTACAAGGTCTAAGCAATTTTTTTGGTTCTTGCTTAGGGTACCCCTTCCTATGGTATCCGATAGTAGCCCCCGAGCCTCGGAGGGAGTGCGAGCACTCTCCCTGAGGTTTTAATGAGACTTGGCTCGCAGCAGCTTCCGTCGGGATTATGTTTTGTGTTCGTGGTGTCGGTGGGTGCGCGCGAGCGCACCCGTCGGGTGTAGCCCCCGAGGCCCTAGAGGAGTGGATTTACTCCTCCATGGGCTTTTTCCCTATTGAGTGAGGGGTTTTTCATGTTTGCCAAGCCCCTGAGTGCGAGTTCAGGTCACTGGGTCTTGGCTTGGTTGCAGGAAGAGCCCCCGAGCCTCTGCGCGAAGCAAGAGGGCGATCAGGAGTTTCCCTGTCTTTTTTGGGCGGCCCTCGCGCATCCTTTTCGTTCGGAAGGAGGGATGGAGTATGCCAGGCTACCCTCGGTGGGCGCAAGCACTGACACCTCCGGTGAGCTATTATCGGGTAAGTCCAAGTGGAGGCCCGTGCCCCATTCGATAGGGGTCGGCTAGCGGTCCAGAGACGCGCTCCAAAAGTACCAGAGGGCTTCTCTAGTGGGTCCCAGGGCCGTTTGATTGGCCCCAGGGGCTCGGTGCCTCCCTACGGTGG